GTAACATTAATAACGCCCTCACGGCTGAAAGGGCGAGCATGTTTAGTGTGACGGGGATTCGAACCCGCGACCCACAGATTGCGAGTCGAGCGCCCTAACCGCCTGGCCATGCCTCCCTACGAAAGAGACCTTACATCTAAATTGAGTTAAAAAAGACGAATTCTCTCTACCGTTTTTCTATGTTATCAAGAGGGTCTCGGCCTCTCTTGATTCTCAGACAGGGTTTTTGATGGTCAAAGCAATCACAGCTACATCTTCCATCAGGATACGCCCGCTTGTAGAACGGAAAGGGACATTCCTTACACCTATTAGGGAGAAAAGTGGGAACATCGTTAGGCCTTGGAGAAGTATAGTCTAAAAAAAAAGATACTTTACAGGTAAAAACTTGCTTCGCTCAGCTTTGTGAGCTGATGTTAAAGCTGGAATTGGTATTCACAAATTATAAAATCTGTATCAAAAGAAAACAAAGAAGTTAAAAAAACGAATGACTTTTATGTTTATAAAAAACTCAAATACAGTTCTCCTACAAAACACACACACACATTAAGACCAGCAGAACTGTAACGTATGAGTTATTATTTCCTGGATAAACTGCCAAAGCTGGTCAGTCATATTCGTAGTTACCGAGAATATATTTTTGTTTGGGAATTCAGCAGTAAGTTGATGCCCCTACATCAGGGTGTGAAATAATTTTCTAATTGCATTCATAATTCCCGTGTTTAATATTACAAAAGAACCACTTTAATAACAATGCTAAATAAACTAGACACAGAAATGTATAACAATTGTTCGGAAACAATTGTTATTTCGTTAACATAAACAAAACACTATGGCTTAATAGACATACAAAACTAGGCTTAAACCAAAAAGTAGCTTTCACTGAAGCACCATTATTCGAAGCATATAATTTAGACCTTTCAAGTTCATCAGCAACAATCAGGCTGTTGATAATGTTATGAAGCATCCTAGACCACTTCTCTGAAAGACCTGTTTCTGTTTCCAGGCTATCTTTAGTATCTAGGGTTGCTCGACGGGATGTTACACAGATATCAAGAATGTCCCATACATGTTCGATGGAATTAATGCCCGGTAAACGTGCAGGACTTTCCAGTATTTCAATTTTCTACTTCTTAAGGAACCTGCCGATTAGTCTAACACAGTGGCGGAGGGCGGCATCATTCATACAGCTGAAATCACTGCTAATTACACTTGTATATGTCAGAATACAGGGTCGTAGTATGTACTCCTTATAATGTGTAGCATTAATTTTGTTATTCCACAACCCCAGGATTTAGAGGGCGTGCGAACACCAATGTTTATTCTAGAATACATCATACTTCCACCACCGACATACTGCGACATATGTGTCACGTTCCTTTATAAGAACTAGGGAATACGGGCTACTGTTTGTGCTGGTAATTACTAATCGTAGTATTCATACGTCATTGAAAAAAATATAGCAAAATTGAAAATTTTCTTAAAAAAAGTTTTTTTTGGGGGGAAGTACTGCACGAGAAAAGTGTTCGGATTGTGTTGATATAAACTGTAATGTTTTTATACATCAAAAGTGGTACCCTTTACTGAAAAAATAACAGTTTTTTTTGTAAGAACTCCATTTTTAGTAGTATATTTACAAATTACACCAATAAAAATATAATCAAACGCTCACGTACAGTCCTAGTGAAAGTCGTGTTCTTATTGTGAGGAGAGTACTTTTATTTAAAATTGTGATAAAGAACTGGTTGTTGGACATACCATAGTTATTTTTCTGTCTGAATCTTGAATACCCAAAGTGCGAACTTTTTTATGGATTTTTGTTTGTGGTGCCATTCAATAGATAGCACCACATTATATTTACTATTTCTGTTACATACATAGATAGGTACAAATATACACGCTACGTCCATTATAGTAACGTGGAATTGGTTCTTATTATCCAGCTGCAAGATGAAGCTCAACTCTCCTGTTAAAAAGAAAAAAAAAGAGTTGTACATGAAAAAAACTGCTGTACATGCCCTTGTCATCATTAAATGCTCTTTTCTAAACTTTGCTTTAAGAGATGTAAACTTCAGTGGGCGTCTTGTATACAGACCAGCCTCGTGAAGTCCATTTACTGACACGGCGTTTACTTGCACATGCGAACATCTGATTCAGTCTTGGAACAAGTACTCTAACATTGCAATGGGCTAGAACTGACATACATTAAACACAAAAATTATAAGATATGAGATTTGTTTAAAGTTGTCTATTTTTAGGTTTTCAATTTCTTTTGAAATTTAGCATGATTATTGTAGAGGATTACATTAATCCTACCTAGGGTTTGTAAGTTTATGCAAATATGATTCTTTGTGTAATAAGCCTATATGAGAAACTACCACAAACTCTACAAAGAAAAAGCCTAGTTTTGATTGATTAGGAATTATATTTATTGTTGAGAAAATGCTAGATTATGAATTTCATTTGCAAGGATTGTGCAAACTGTTAGAAACCAATTAACTAAAGATGAAATTTGCAGAACCGTCAAACTACTACAAGAAGACCATACCCAGATTGAAGTAGTACAGGTCATGGTGGTGCAGCTACCAGGTCACAGGAGAAAAAAACCAGGAGACCAGGTCATGGTCACAGAAGGACTACAGGTCTAATAGACGACCGATATCTGCGGAATTTAGCCTTTAGAAGTCGCACCAGCACAGCTAAAAGCCTCAGGAACAAGCTTCAGCAAGTCAATGGAATGCGCGTATCGGACTCAACGGCCAAGAACTGACTTCATGAGGCTGGGCGCGGATCTTGTATACCATCTAGAGCATCTGTACTAACTCCAGACCACTGAAAAGCCTGGACCCTTAAGCAATGGACTCCTGTACTGTTCACAAGTGAGAGCAGATTCTGTGTATCTTCAAGTGGTCGACGTGTGAGAGTCTGGAGACGTGAAGGAGAGCGATATTCGGCCTGTAACGTTGTCCACTGTGATACCTTTGGGGGATCACATTCATAGTCAGAGGTGGCATCTGCATGCAGGTGCATACAAACTTGTAAGTGGTGGGTGTAGGATTCCTGAGAGCAAGATGTTATGTGGATGAGATTCTGCTACCCATCAGCAGGATAACGTCCATCCTCACACCACTAGAATTACGCAGCAATTTTTTCAGGATCAAGGAAAAAGATACTGGACTGGACTGCTATGTCACGGACCTAAATCCGACAACTGTCCAAGAGCTTAGATCTGTCCTCATCCAAGAGTGGACTGTGCTGCCTTAGCAAGTCATCCGAAATGTCATTAGTAGTATGGAGAACAGGTGCAAAAAATAATGAACAATAGAGGAGGAGCTATCAGTTACAAAAGGCTCATTATATTAAGTTTGTTCATCTTAAAACGTTGTCTTTTTTTATATTTATGTAGCAAAAATTTTCCGTTAATTTTATTTTTTGTTATTTGTGCATGAATTTTTTTACTTGCTTAACATAACATAATGTTTTGGGACAACAAGGGACCTATTGGTCCATCTCGGCTGTTCCACCCTCTAAACTAAACTAAGACTATTAAT